CGGTGTGTGCCATTGTCATCAAAGGGAACATAGAAAACCAGAAGTTTACAGAGCACTTGAGAATGCGCCACGTTCTCGAATTCCTCTCAGTATAGCAGATTTGGTATCGAGATCTGGGTACCCGACAGGAGGCCCGTCGCGCGGCAAGAAGGCAGAGTCAGCGGACGAGTCGCAGCGCGTACTGTAGTGATTTCGCGTCAAGTTAAATAGAATGTACCATTGTACGTCCTACATCGCACATCACGCGCTGGCCTCCTGTCGGGTACCCAGATCGAACTTTGGTTAGAGCTTTTTCACAAACGAAGTTCTCAGATCACATTACGAGAGCGGAGGAAGAGTTTCTCGATACTGGCACAGCTTCCATGGAGGAAAAGCTAATCCTCATTGCTTCCCTTCTTGCCGCGCGACGGGCCTCCTGTCGGGTACCCAGATCCTTCTATACAACAGAGCAAACCGCGAGTTGGAAGAAGCCCATGAGAGCACTTTTTCCTTTTGCCTGCTTTTTTTGTTTAGGAGCAAGGTTAGCTTACTCCGGAACTTGGTCTTTGAATTGTGCATGATGTGCGGCCAACTTCTCTACCGCGCCGTTTCCACTCACAAATTCTACGGAGACAACCGCTACAGTAGACCAAATATAAATTAAAATCTTTATTTACATCTCTCTTTAGTCTCTGAGGCAATGTATGATATTAAAAATACTTAGTTCAACGTAATTTTGTAGGAGACCTCCTTACTCCAGATTTTGCCATGAGAATTGTCGAATGTGAATGTGTACTCGCCATCTTCTCTACATTCAACTGTACCGAATTCAGGATGGAATTCGGTGGTGATACGAAACGTGGGATAGACCTGCAAAGAAAAAGTAACCGATCAGAAGAAGATTCACTGATAAAATTGCTATCAGATTTGATGACGTAAAAAACACGGGCTTGTCAAAATTTCAATTTAAAGACACATGCCACGATAGTCTATATTATGTATGGGTTATCCACTTAAAATGAACATAGTAGAAAAGGGTAGCTTTTGGTGGAGACCTACTAGATCAGCTACCGCTGTAGGTGGTTTGGCTACAAATTTTTTATTTGTCCATTACAATGGTGCCTTTGAGAGGAAAGCGCTATCTATTCTGACGAATACAAAGGAAAATAAGGTCAGGTTGGATTTGGCTTCGCTAAGTGATGCAGTGTCGAAAAAAAAGAAATATGTAACGTTAGAAATAAAATGAATAAATAGAACAGTTAATAAGTATAAAATAGGAATAAAACGAGATATGGTGAAATAGGCAAGAAAGATAAGTCACGCTGGAATTAACAAAGCCGATAGGCCAAAAAGAGGATAAATTAAGAAATGAAGGACCGTACAGGGTCGCTAAATTACAGAGAGAGATTTCCTAAAATGTAGTCAATTTTTGAACTATGCAAAACCAAATGTTCCGAGATTTTTCGCAGATATGCATGTTATTTCTAATTAAAGGCAGCGATTACGATAAATTCAAGAAGGGTTTAGTGTGACGTGGTGGTGCTCAATGGTACGCCAGTAGCGAAAAAAGCAGAAAATCCGTCAAGAAAACGCAAAACGGGACCCCTTTTTGGCCGTTGGTTTTCACTCATGAACAGGTAACAGCTCAGAAAGTGGACGTATGAACGAGTTCACCGCAACGCGTTTGGTGGCACCATGCCAAACCACGCTTTAATCGAGATGCTCCATTTGTGCCGCTGCTGGCAACGCAGCTCGTCCAAATCACCAAGTAAACTAGTGGGCGGATCGCTTTTGGGGGCGGAGCGCTTTCGAAGTCCTGCTCAGCAACCAGCGCACCTTTTTCGTGAAAGCGCCACACCTCGCTTCCCTGGCAGCCAAGTAACTGATTCGTGTGGTGCATATGCTTCCCGATGCGCTCCCTCTTTATCGTAATCGCTTCCTTTAAATAGAACTATCATCTAACGCAGGAGTTAGCATTCGCATATTTCAAGGAGGATGAAATGGTAGTGATCGTTGAGGTGGTGACTGCGCTTTGATCCACTGCTTTCTCTACTTATTTATTCATTTATTTACCACTTTCTCTACTTGTAGCCCGTTTTTTGTGGAGACCGATATAGATCAATTACTATTATGTCTGCTGAAAAATAACAGATGCTCATGCAACCTACCATTTCGCCGTTCCTAGTGATTCCAAAGTCAACGTCTCCTCCACTGACTCGCCAAAACCATCGGAATGTTTTGCCTTTTTCACCATTTATCCTTACCTGGAAAAAATTCCAGTACTTTTTGTTAGGTCACATTGAGAGTTCCGTTCTAATACATGCCCTAGAATAGAATTGTGATTCCCACACGAAATAATAATGTTAGTGCGAAATGGGCGGAGTGTTATGGAGAATTCGTCGAAAACGCTTAGTTTAAGGGCTTGCTCACTTTTGGCTGTTCTAGGGCAGTGAAAGGCGCGGAGAGGAGAGTATGAGGTGAGAGAGCGCTACGAATGAGAGGGCGCCATACAACAACAGCTTGCTCCAAACGGAACAGCTGCAGTTGCTGCAGCTAACTTTTTAAGGCCCTGGCGCCCACGGGTAATTTGCATGCACGGAGTGTCACATCTGTGATTACTCTATAGAGGCCCTTTCCACGGAAGGGATCGTCCAGACGACTTCCGCCTGGATTGTGCTTTTAAAAATGGTGTCGAGGGAGTATTAGGAGTGCTGATTTCGTCAACAGTTGCTGTACCTATTCCTATTCTGCCTATTCTTAGCAATTTTGAAGGCAAACCCCTGGATCAGCCCGACCTCCGAAAAGGATATTGCGAGGAAAACTGTAATGGGGTTGCGGGGGGGGGGGGCTACCTGGGTGTAGGTGTACCTATCTATAATAGATCAGTCAGCTTTGTCCCGAAAATTGCGCGGTGTGGACGCTAATTCTTACAGCCTGCAACCATCGACCCCGTTCCAATGCTTCCCACCCACCTCGATATCGGCGTGCTCTCTCGAACAGCGTGATCTCTCGCGAGCTTTGTCTTCTTTGGTCACACTGTCTGCCATCGTACCGCATACGACTTTACTAAAGGTTAAGGCCTTAATTTCGGCGTTCTCAAAGATTTTTCTCGCTTCCTTTCTACTTTCATGTCGTTCCCTAGCTCAGTCATTGATATGGAGCCCTCTTTTCATAAGTTTTATCCCGGCTCTTGCCTTCAAACTGAGGCAAAAACAACCGTAGAGAACATCAGCGGTAATCATGCACCAACCTTGCAAATTCCTCTGGGCCCTCACGATCTGCTTTAGACCGCGCTGCTACGGTAACCTTAGTAAATCCCTGTCTATCGTCGTCGACGTTATCTTCCGCTTTATACCTAAATGAAATTGTGTCCGCTCGTGATAGGAAAATTGAGGAACGCACTGCGTACCCTTTTTGGTGAAACATCAACTTGAATTCTCGGACACTTTTCCACCACTTCGAACATCTGCGTAGAAGATAATGCTTTGCTTCCACCTACCAATGGCGATAGATTTGTGACTCTCCTAGCTATAAACATGGGCTTTCCAATTGGATGTATACTCTAACGCCAATGCTAGGATCTGGTAACTGACCTCTTTGACGAGAAATTCTTTCCAGTCACTACCCAGAAATGTTACCTAAATAAAACGAATAAAGCTTAAAGCTTGAGATAAAGCATTTGCCGTTGATCAATCCCTTTTTGGGATGCGGCACGCATTCTACTTCCATTTGTACATTCGCAGTGGCGTTTGAATGCGATGTGGCCTATACAATGACTTGCGGGGCCAGCCGATGTACAAAGTCAGTGTTTTTATCCTCCCAGACAAGTCTGGTACCAATTAACCGACCCCGGAGGGATGGAAGGCTTGGTTGGCCCGGGCGACTCACGACCCAGGATTTGATCCCCGGACCGCTCGCGTGGTAAGCGTGCCACTTGCCACTACACCACTTCCGCCCTACTTGAGATACTACGTCGATTAGGGAGACGCCGACCGTATGCGAGCCTTCTGTAAAGAGGCGGCGCTCATTAAAAAAAACTCATAACTCTGTTAGGGGAGAGCCTGTTGGGCGTAAAATAATCTGTTAAGGAATGCCATATCAAAGGTGTCCCAGTACACGTGAGCTAGGCGGAAGCCCGCCCACATTAGGCGGAATGTGTGCCTAAGTGGTTTGTTTTTATACAAATCTTGGACAGCCGCTTCAAAGAAGTCCCAGAAACCAGAGAAAAAGTGGGTAGAGATAAGAGAAGGGGAGACGGCGAAATGTTAATGATGTGCGTGGCGTGCACCAAATGTGGGTGGGTTTCGCTACAAAACTCTATATTCGGCGCCGAGAGGTCCCGGAAACCAGGATAAATGGACCGAGGTTAGAGATGGAGGAAAGTTGCTGAATTGCTGTTGGGGGTGGCTTGCACGAATAGGGCGACGTTCGCTGCGAAACACCGTAGTTGGGTCCAAGGAGGGTCCAGAGACCGGGAAAAAGTGCATAAAGGTTGGTGAAGGAAGGGAGCTAAAATGCTATTGGTGGGTGGAGCTTGCACCGAGGTGGGCGGATGTTGCCACAAAGCGCTATAAAAAGATCGATGGCCCTGTCCTGTACCACTGCAATCCCGTGTGGTGCTCGTACGCGTTTGAAATGTACGTTATACGCAGAAAAGCAAGAAGTGGCTCTCATCACCTTCTCTTTCGTTTGCTTTGACAACACCGGCTGTATCATTGCGTAAACGGTTTTGATCATCAAAGGGCTGTTGATGACGTAAATATGCCGGCCGAAGTCAGGAAACAGAGCCTGAAATTTACTCACATATTTTTTAAAGAATACCTAGAGAATCTTTTGGCAGCCCTCCTAGTGATGCCTTCCCAGTTACTTTCGTTTAACCTACCTGAAGTAATGTGAGCAGGTTGAGGTAGATGTTGAGAGCTGGCGGATAAAGAACATCCATGCTAAAGTTGTCCAAATCAATGATAATCTTCGCTCCTAACTTTTTTCCAGTCGCAGCCTCCGCTTTTCTAAATGATCACTATGGAACGTA